ATCCGTAAGACTTGCGGGACGACTGATAGTAGTGTTGCTGACGATGACGCCATCAATATTGCTCTTGCGAATTAGATCTGCAATATCTATAATCTGTGATTCCTCGAGGTCAGGTGCAATCTTCAGCACCAAGCGCGGTCGTCGTGCTGTTATTGGCGATGGTTCTAGTTCGTCTCGTGCTTTCATAACACTTGTAAGTAAGTCTTCCAACAGCTCTCGATTTTGAAGACCGCTGAAGGGTGGTCAGATAGCGTCAAAATGATGGTAAAGGTCATACCGAAGTCCGGGTGTGTTCGGGCTAGAGACATTGACAACCAGAACATCAGCGTATGGGCCGAACATCTTCACACCAGTGACAAAATCATCCGGAGACTCGACCGGAGAAGATTTATTTTTACCTAGGTTGATTGCAAGAACTGACCCGGGTTTGAAGGCAGCAGTTGTATCGTCTTTCGTCTCATGAAATTTGGGTATGCGAGCGCGAAGGCGGGAAATCATGGAGGCAGCACCTTGTGAGGGAAATCCGTAACGGTTGATGAGTGCTGCGTCATCAGGAAGATGGAATACGCGTGGCTTCGGGTTTCCAGGCTTGTATGTTGCTTAGACATGGGTAAAGAACCACCGGACATAGCAAACCCACCTGAGGTTTTGGTGTAACACTTCCGATTTCAACCCAGCTAAAGCCGAGATTAAGGATACCTAAGGAGCTTGCATCGATACCAGGTCATAGATGAGTCAAAGGGAAGCGTACCATCAATAGCTTCGCCATCTTTGTCAAAACCAGCTGCCAAGCCAACGGGATTGGATAATTCACGCCCCCAAAACTAATTCGAAAGATCATGAGTAACGCAAGCCAGCTTTCGAGTGAAGTAATTGCGCACCTCAGACCGCAATCTTTCATCATCCTGTACAGGGTCCCGCGGGCCCAGTCCGCTACGAAGGACTTTGACGGCAATCCTGTGCCCAGTTTCTGCATCGAATGTATGACGCAGTGCAGGTGTCAAAACATAACGGTGCATTGCGGAACGCGCATCATAGTAATAGACTGCGAACAGACCAACAGAAGCAGTGAGTACCGTTGCGTAGATAGCGGTGCGGGCAGAAGACTGGGAAGATGAAGATGCTGTCGTTATTCTCCGCGCAAAGACTGGTGAACGCTGAGGAACTTGCTTTCGTAGAACATGATAAAAACCGGTCGTGCGGAGGTGCATGGTGTCGTACTCGATACGCAGGGAAGTGCGTTCAAGCGAAACTGTGCAAACGTTAAACCGAACTATGTAGTAGCAGTTCGGAAACAAGTTTGTTTATGTACCAAATTTGAATTCACAATAATCCAACATGCTGGCCGCTGTCTATACATCGTGTGACCTAGTACTACACCAAATCCTCTGGGATAGTATGCCGCGTCAATGCCACGTCGCTATTGGGCATCGTCTATAATGTTTACGCAGTGACCAGTCCCACACCGTGTATCTGCATATGGGAGCGACCGCTTCTGTGCTGACGCGGACGCGCCGACGGAGGGAAGGACACGTTCTTCGAGGGTCTGGAGAGCTTCGCAACGAGATTTTGTATAATCATTTTATCAGTTCGCGTTATGTAAGTTCGTTGTCTCCCCAGCTAGCCACTGGCAGAGTCCAGACCAATCGAGGAAAGATTTTAAATTCATGAGTTTTGATCACGCCGTTCGACGTCGACAAGCCTGAATATCATTACAATCGTTATTCAACGCGTCTCTGGCTTATCTTGTGTCGAGGATGGCAATTTACACGTCCCTGGCAGTGACCACTGTCATTTTAAATCCTTCTGAGAGGTGCCTGCAATGGTCAGACGATGGCCAGGCATGTATTACCACCAAGGCAACCGTGCATATCATGGCAAGAACTCTTTGTCAAACTTGGTGGAAGGAGGCACCTTACATTTGCATTCAGACCCCAGATTCGGGTATCAACTTCAGTACACCACCCGATATCAAGGCACTTCGAGGAGATGAGCAAGGGGAGCAGACGCTCGGGTGGTTCAGGACGATGATCGAGCCGGCTCGTGGACAGACGCATATCTGGCCGAGTATATGTCAAGGTAAGCATATGCCTGAGGCTGCCGCTCTTCGGTATTAGTTTTGAGGCTTGCGACGATGGTAAGATTGGGGCGCTATTACTCTCGGATCCCTCGATGTTTCCCTTCGTGGGGTTGCATGCTCCCCTAGTAATCTCACATCGCGGGGAAGGTATGTCCCTCACCGCTTGTCTGACATGCAGCTGATATGTATCTTCGAGATGCGTAATAACCATTCTTAACTCAAACGCTGAAGTATCACTTTGGACGGCTGCTAAAAATCACTTGAAGGGAGAATGGACCAATGTGAGAGCTGTAAACTCATGTTGCTTCACATGAGTCCTGAGTTTTGTGGAGATTCAAGATGTTACAGGTCTGTTACTCGACACAGCCTCTTCTGAGGATATCATTCGTAACACTCTTCGAGCGCAAGTGACTAGTGTGTGACTCTATAATGTATTATGACACATCCTCTGACATCCTGTTCAAGGTCTTGCCTGGTCAAAACAACCGGACTATAGAATCACACCCACTCCGATCCTTGATTCGTCGATGCTTGCCCTAGGAAACAGGGCGGGCTGTATTGAGTTTTTCAGGTGCGTAAATGCGGGTCTTTTTTTGGAAATACGTCCATCTTATTGTGTGCAGGTTTAACAGACATAACAACTCAGGAGGTTCCCTCTCGTACATCCATACAGAACCATTGAGCGATCACTGGATCACGCATTTGAGCTGGGCACCTTGGATTACTCACGCTGTCGGTCATTGTAAGCTTTCTCGTGTCTGTTGCATGAACAGGATCTTTATTTTGGCGAAGGCGAATCCCTACTGGCCTTCTCCACTGATAATGGCAACGTCGGACTGGTAAAAGTCACACAAAATCTACAGTCTACTTCGAACGTTGGTTTTGTGCCTGAGTACACAACCAGTGCTGTATTCGACGTCCAAGGTCCAATTTGCGAGGCTGACAAACGAGGCGTGACCGCATTAGCATGGGTTCAACCACCAGGAAGAAACGTACTCTTTGACCTTTTTTTTCTCCAGTCTTACCTGGCTCTGATTGTATTTTCCAGCCGATCCTCGTGTACACAAAACCCGGCCTTGTGTACCTGTGGTCATGGCCCGGTTCTGAACCAGCTTGGAACGGCACTCGCGCATTCCCATTACAAACCCAAAAGATGTCCATCGGATCCTCTGCCATTAGCCCTGTCTCTGGAGTATCCTACGTGCTTCACCGCGACGCACTCATTCTTTCACTTTTCGATGGTTCCTTGCATGTCATCCATAATATGACCGTGGAACCTACCTGGAGTCCTCCGCTTGCAGGCGACATCCTCACCTCTACGGAACTATCTCGCACAACACGAACGTTGTTTGCCAAAGTTACTCCTGCGGGAATTTCTAACTTGGATGTCAACAGGATTGGTGGAATGATGTCGTACGACTCGCAGTCGACTCTCATCTGGATATACGAGTAAGTGTCATCAATGATATAATTTACAATCACCCACGGATCCGTTTGTTTTTCCAGAGCCCTTCGACCTGCAGATTTCGGCTACAAGAATGAAGCTCAGCATGAATGTATGCTACTCACTGCACCATTTTGGCAGCTCGACGATGAGACCGTCTTGCACACCGCTTCAGAGGCTTTTGCTGATATCTCTTGTGGTGAGTCGAACGCTCGACTTCTCACTAGTCATTCAATGCTTAGATGGTGAAGCCTCAGGAAGTGCCCCCATTCACCATTTGCGTGCACTGATGCTTCATCTACGCAGTAATGCGCGCTTCGCGGCGGTGTGCCCTCAGGTACTGGAGATTTTATCGCAAGTACCACCAGATCAAACAACGACCATAGTCTTGCCATCCTGGACGCAAGGATGGAACGATGACTTGCGACCTCAGCTTCGGAAAAGCCTGACTACCCATTTGTTCGGCTGGCCCAATCTCCTATCGCTTCGAATGAGGCTCTCCATAGCCGACCTGTGTTGGGTGCGCGAGTTACGAGCGTCCAATCTGGTACACTTACAGTATTTTGTTCACAGAAACTATGCAAGGACCCGGAGATGCAAGCACAGTGCGGTCAAGTCGCACAACGCCTACTTGCCGCCATCTCACACTGCGTGCTGCGGGTACTGGTTCGTCACTTGAGAGCCATCATCCCCGTCATCACTAGTGCGGCGATAGTTTACTTTCTCTTCTTATTCGCTGAGCCCTTGTCACAGCGCCTGATATCCCATTTGTTCTCCGCGAAGTAGTACAGTCACTACTGCCTGGTTCGCCACAAGATCTATCAGATGAAGCTCAAGCTTTATCAGATGCTCTCACTGCATCATTCTCCATCGATCCTGCAATTGCCGCGCTGCACGAACACTGTCCCGCTTGCCACACCGAAGTCCCACTGCATGACATCACCCGCGCAACTTGTCCAAATGGCCATGCCTGGGGTACGCCTTCCTCTTTTACGAAGCTGGAAAAGCCCATCTCAAGTTTTCTTTCATATTAGCTCGCTGTACGGTCACCTCGTTCATACTCTCGACATCAAAGGTGCGCACGTGCATCGGATGCAGTCGGAAGGCCTTGCTTCCGCTTGCATCGTCGGATGAGAGCCAGTTGCCTGTCGCTGCACAGAGTTGGATCGTGAGGGATTTGTTGGAGGCTGTACATCGGTGTTTATTTTGTGGGAATAGCTTCGTGGAGATCGTATAGGATGATGTGAATGTGTTCATGCACACGGCGAGTTCCAAATATATCCAGCCTCGTCTTGCGGATAGATCTCGGCCCGTTTGGACACTTCTGAAATAGCGTCGACGTTGAGCTCCAGGCAACTTTGCGGGTTCTTGTGTCGACAGTGGCCCTCCATGGAACAACAAAATAAATAAGTCGTATACTACATAGGCGTGAGATGATGGTCATGTCAATACAATCTAGAAATTTCATGCAGAACATTAAACGTCCAGTCGGAACCAAAGCGGTATCATCTTCCACATTCTTTCTCTCTCCCTCGTAGTCCAAATCGCCAGCGCTCTCGCGCACGCCTCGCACTCAGATACTTCTACACTGCGGCGAGATTCCCCAAACCGCGCGTCATCAACGCTCGAAGCCTGACCAAAATCATACAATGGTTGCCCAAGCTCCTCCGCGACATACAAAGGATCAGTGCAACCACGCTCGCGATCAAAGAGATAATGCTGAGTGGCCAGTGCCACAAGTTCCGAGAAATCTCTTCTGCATGAGCGATGCGAGTGTGCGTGATGCCCCAAAAGAAGCGGATGAGAGTGCGATCCCATGGAGCGAATGAGAGTTGTGATCGCGTGTTGCGATGCCTCTTTCCCCAAAGCTAACCTTTGCAGGTCTGCATTTGATAACGGCAGTTGTGCAATAGAAGGGCCACTCTCGTCGTCCTGCTCGAAGAGTTGGGTATAGTGGTATCGTGATAAGTCATAGAATGCAGAAGGCAGGAGGCTTGGCGCATTGACTTCTCGTGCGAGGATAATAACGTCCTGAATGCGAATGAGCCATGTCGTATCAAATGTCAAGAGAAGCGGCCTACTGCAGGGGAAGGGTGTATATTGGACATCCCAGGACCACTCTGCATTTCATCAGCACGAGTGACGTCCTCTCTAGCATCCCATCCCTTGAGTGAAGTCGGCCAAGCCTTGCTTAAATGAACAAGAGCTTTGGTTCTCAACGAATCGACAAGGTACTTGGTCGCAAGTCGAAGTATCCCCGAAACCATGCGAAAATCGGTAGGGTCATTCTTCCCAAAGTTTCTGTACAGAATTCGTCACATGAAAACGCAGCGCGCTATATGAGACCTACGGGCCATCATAAAGTGCCGTGAGGAGATTCTCAACGTCCTCTGCCGTGTCGTGCAATCGCAGAACAGGACACCCTTCTACTTCATTGGTCGTATCTATTTGTAGTGTAGGGTCGTTGCTGACAACCACGGTCGGAGAAGAGGATGTATTATCCGCACTGGGTTGTGGCAATGAGAAGAGATCGCGGAAGAACGCCGAGTGGCGAGCAAGTTGAGACTTGTGCACACGAAATAAGGTGTCTTCTGCTCTCAAAATGATCTATTAAAGCCCAATTGTGGCCTCAGTCTGCGCTCGATCACAGGCGGTCATTATACGCACCGAACCATCACAAAACCACAAATCCATGTGTTTTGAAGCTTCAGCAAGTGCATTATCTCCTGCAGAGGCTGCAATTTGCGAGTTCCTGTCCACAGAGGATCTTGGTGTATGGGTCAACCTGCGCAATAATCCATTAGGCGGAGGACTTCTAGGTGGGTAATGCCCGTTCGCGGAGATCATAATTGGGGTTGGGTAGTAGCTCGTTTGCATTATCGATTGATGATGATACAAGACAACGCCCCGATGGCACTAGGTAGGCCTTATCTTGTACCGTGTACTGCCTGTTAATCACTCGCAGGTAACTGCATGCTGAGGGCAGCTTGAAGGGCGTGGAAGCATTGCCACAAGCCTTAGCTTGGCTACCTGGCAGAAGCGGCATGGCATGTTGGGGATAACGTGTTCTTACACACAAGGAGACCCCTGGACACCCCTTCTTTCCAGCCATCGGGAAACACCAATTCCCTGTTCGGTTCGGAAACGACCGAAAAACAGTAAGCGGAGGTTCAGGGTCTCGATGTGCGAGACTTGAAGCTTGAGGCCTTACCCACTAGCCCTCCCCAATCGTCAACTACCCTCCCGGTGGGTCGTGGTTACTCGACGCAGCTGGTCGGTCATCGTTTCGCGGTTGCAGTCGTGCGACAGAGCCTGTACTCCCACTAGGTATATCATAGGCACAATATTATTATCCTAAACAGAACGAAAAGGTCGGCGGGTTGGGGTAGTGCGCAGTAGCCCCCTGACAAGAACTTTCGCTGGTTCGAAACCGCTGGCGTCCCCGCCATCCTAGCGTCTCCCTTGCCCTAGCCAGCGGACTCTTAACCTAGGAGACGCTGACTGCAGCGGGAGCTAAGAACGTGGTCCGCCTCGCAACGCTCTGACTTGGGCTTCGCTTATCCAAGCCAGCCGCTATCGAATGTATTGAAAAGTTGAACTTATTGAGGAAGCGACGATGCAGCGCGGGGGAAGTCAAGTGGGTATTGCCTCCAATCGATTACTTGAAGGAGTAATCAGCACCAAACCCGTTTGGGCTGCCGTTGGAGTGATCGATGATCACCGCAGGGTTATGTTAGTGAGTAACTTCATCTATGTTTAGAACGCACATATTACGAGCTCGCAAAACCTTGGGAGATGAAAGGGATCAGCAATCGAGTTGAGTCGCATGCAGCACCTGTGCACTAGGGAAAGCGTATGACACTATACACAGCAACTCATGTGCTGGTGACGGGAACGCATAAAAGGCCTATGATCGTGATGCAAGTCACCACCTCCCTGAGGTTACAGGGTTCTAGTATAGTGTTCAATATCTTACTGCCATCATGAATTGAGTATCCAGACAAGGCGCGCAGGAAAAACTGATTCATGAGAATACAACCAATTGCAATGTATGAAGATCCGCGAGGTGGGCTTTCTCGCATCTAATTTTAGCTGCAGTTAGATGGTGAAGAAGGGGGACAGTTATCCCAGGGTTCCAACGCATGTAATTGTAGATTATGATCACTGGTACTTATTGGATCAAACAGATCTCATATCCTCTTTGCGATCCGGGACGGAGGCTGCTGGTGAATCGAGGGAGTGGAAAGAAGTGGAAGTCTCAGTGACAAAACCGAGGGTAATAGTGGTGAGCTGTTGCGATGTGGAGACAGATGGAATTGGACCGCTATAGTTGACATCTTCCGGATCGTCAGGTTCACGGTTAAGCACCCGGTACGCATAAGTCACAACCACCAGCAGGTTGCAAATTATCAGGGAAGATGATACCTTGACACAGGAATTGAAATTTTGAATGGATGAGATGAAGGAACAACTCTACCTCTAAATTGACTGCAATCATCTCTATCCATATATCAACTAGAAAATTGGTGATAGCATGAAACAGGGAGAACATGGTCATGATAATGCTGGATGAAAATATCGCGAGAATCATCCGCCGCTGTCGAGAGGGCAGGTTGACGTTCCAGAGTAATCGGAAGGAAAAGGCCACCAGAATAGTGTCAGCGACGAACTTGGCTGATTGAATAGTGTGATGAGCATAGAATGGAGTAAAAGGTGGTGCGAGGCCTACTTGCGAGTTGGTACGCTGCCATCGAATGGCCGACGTGGCACGAAGGACAAGGCAACTGGTACCACTCACTGTTCGATTCAATTTCCCGCACCTTTTGCGCCATTAGAACTCCCTCCGTCAGGAAGAAGAGAATCGCGAGGCCCATGGACAGACGATAAAGACGCTGCGTGGACCGTGCAACCCGTGCGATGGCAAACAATATGCTCATGCGTGTAAACCTTCAAGTCTGTTTGTTTTCCTAGACCAAAGTGAGGAGGAACAGGATCTCACCAATTTATGCAGGTGGACATGATCGTTGTCACCCAAAAAGAAACTACACACGCCGTTCCTCCTACGCCAAGTCCATTCATATGAGCAACACAACAAGATCAACGAATGATACGATACGCACGAGAGAGTAGATGAACCCAGGAACCAACCAGATACGCTATGCCACACGATCCAGCCGTAGCAGCCCATGCGTCCTCCCACCAAAATCTCCTTATGTGTAGTCGGAACGAGACACGAAAAATTGTGAGGGCGATAGCCATCCCCTGCACAACGCTCATCACCGCTAAGTTGGGGTAAGATAATATCTTGATAGTGTAGAAGTCTCAACGCCTCGGGCTATGTACCCACCCTTCATATGTATCATCGAGGACAACAACGCCATCTTTGCTGAGGATGATGATATTCTGAATCAAAAATTGCTAGCATCAAGCGCTAAGAGCGAGTCATACTATAATTGCACCATTTGGAAGGTTGTAATATTCAGGGAAAAATTCCTGCAGGGCCGAAGTCTAGTTGATAAAAATATGACATATAGGCGCTCATCGACCTTCTCATGCATATTGATATGAGGGGTCATCATATACTCCATGCCATGGATGGATTCCGCACGAATTTGCAATGAACGCGCCAAATGGTGGGCCGTCGTTCTTCCAATGCAAGTCAACCAGGCCAGCCTTTTGTCAGTGGACAAGTCTTGAATACCTTGGACTGTCATACTAGTCAGGAACGATAGATAATATTGGAAGTATAAATTACGTTACATCTGCTTCTGCTGCCACTCCTGCGAACTTTGTGGCGCATGACGCGGTCACGAACGGACTCGGAGTCCGAGAGGTGGTTGGTGGGGGAGTTCAGATGAGGGACAAACAATATTAATATTGTGATGTCATGGTGGGGGTCGAAGCGCGGAGGTGACTGTGCAAACAAACAGGTGGAGCGCTGCGCGTACGGGGTGGGGCGACGCGGCAAGTATGACAGGAGGTAATCCATAAGTTAAGGATGGTTCGGAAGCCTGGGAGCTACCCCTAGATTCCTGCTGCCATAGATTTACAGTCAGCATTTAGAAAATGGAGCCGGGTGTCAGTAGTTACAATCTGGAACGATATTACTGTATCATCGCCGCGGTCGGAGTAGTAGTAGGGTCGGGTCAAGTCGTAGAGATGCTGTTTGTGGCTACGATGACGGGGCTGCGATGCATCGGTGGTGCATCTGGCAGAATACGGGTGTGATACTGCAATCCGAATCTGTGAAAAGTAGTATTGCCTACGTTGGTTCATGAAAGGAACGTGACTTGTACCAGCCTGATAGGGCAAGTAACAAGTTCCGTGATGCCATCACCATCATGCGGCGGTCGTCCTTCTTCCCTCAACAATAACCACAGTTCTGCGGATAACGGTCTTTGTTCCTCTGTGTAGCGACCGGTACGGTAAATAGTTGATCAATCGATGAAAGGGTGCACGTGGCAAACTCTTTGTTCTCGTTCCAGGTTTGGCAACACAAAAATTGATCTCCGGGGTAGTATAAAGCACATGATTTACTCTTCTAGCAACCGAATTTTGACGTTCAACGCTGATTCACAGTTGCTCTCTCCGTTCTCGTCTTCCTGGCTGTAGCGAGCTGTGCTTGCACCTTTCCATCGTTTGCGAGACTCTTTTTAACTTACTTCGTTCTATACTGATTCTCAGCTGTGCTGCTGTTAAAACCTGGACGGTTTTCTCCAACGAAAATTCTAACGCCTTTGGTTACGATGCAATTCACTACTCTCGTTTCATTCGCTCTTGCCACTGCTGCCTCTGTGCACGGTGCTCCAGTCCATAAGCGCATTGCGCAAGTCATCGCTGACTCAACTACCAAGTGGGAGGCAGCATGCGTAAGTTCCTGCAGATGGCCCGGTCCGTCGTATCTCATAATGTTGCTCCAGGATACTGCTGGCGGAGGTGCCCAATGCAACCAAGTTGCTGTCGCGTCCTTCGGCACTCTTCTTGCTGCTCCAGGTCCATGCGAGCAGCAGGATGCCGCTGACAACATGATTGACCTCGCAAAGACTCTCAATAACCATGCAGACATGATTACATTTGCTCAGATCTTTGCCCAGCAGCCCCGAAACTCTGTTCGTATTTTTCCAAGCCCATTTTTTTTTACCACTTACAGAATTCTGTACACACAGCCTACATCACAGAGCGTGCCCTATTGTCAGTCAGCCCCGCGCAATGCTGAGCTCAATGGGCTCTTCCAGTGTCAGTTCCAGGGTGATAAGCCAACGACCTTTGTCGGTGGTATTGCCGTTGGTGGTAGCGGGACTATCCCTTTCGGTATGAGTGCACCCGTCAACCCGGCTGGTTCTTGCCCCGCAAACCCCACCGGTCCCATCGCTGATGGCACACAACTCGTGGATCTCACCCAGAATCCCGGTGTCGGTGGCACAACTGCCTCCAATAAGACCACTGATGGAAGCAATAGCACCTCAACAGTGGCCACTTCTTCCGCTATACCTTCGTCTGGTTCTTCTTCGGATTCTGACTGCGAGGAGGATCCAACCGAGTCCACACCTACTGCTTCGCCCACCATGGCAGCTTCTATCGCCGCCGTCGCATCCGCAATGCCCTCAAGCACTAGTGGAAACTTCAAGCTCACTAACGGTCAGGATGCTCAGAAGCTCAATGCGCAGTTTGCTACACTAACTGCTACCTCTCTCTGCACTGGTGAGTCGGCCTCACTCAAGCAGCATGTCATTCTCTAACATTCTATGCAGAGGGTACCAATGCATGCGTCGATAGCGCTTTTGCGCAGTGCGTAGGGGGCACGTATGTGACTCAATCTTGTGGGTCTGGTCTCATTTGCGCTGCCCTTCCTCTCGTCAACTCTGCTGGAACGTCGATCACCTGCACCACAAATGCTGATGCTTTAGCTCGCATTGCTGCCACTGGCGCGCAGGGCGGCCTCACTGGATGAGGTTCATTGATACATTTTTTTTCGTTGTGTTTTGAAATAATATGGTATATAAACTGTCACTATGTAGTTATACTGCTTACAATATCTGTATCAGTATTGGTGGTGCTAGTCGCTGCATAAGATTTGTTGTCCACTGAAGTGTATGATCAATGTTAGTCCCCCCTAGCCAGACCATATAGAATTGAAGACAGTTGTTCCTTAGAAAAATCACTGACTCGCAGATATGGTTAGATGGAAAGTGGATTGTTCTACTGATGGATATTGTTCGGGGATTGCCTCACGGCGAAACAGTCCTCGGACCAATACCCATGAGTAGATAAGACCGAGATTCGGACATCCAAGGTTAGAGTACGTCTCGAATATCTCAGGCTTCATAGGATCGATGATATGACTGAATGACGAAGATAGGGCTGTGGATAAAATCTGATGAGATCTATGGTTGCAAAATAGTCGAACCTTTACAGAGCTGAGACCGCCTGTCCGATAGGATTATACTCAGTGACAAGACCGGCGACGACTAGCCGATCACCAACAGACTCGGACCTTGAACGTCTGAACGATGATTTGAATAGAGGAGTTATGCGGAATCCACCCCTTGATCTGCTGCGGCCACTGCCACTGGCGCTAACATTGGTTTATCAGCTACCTTTTGCTATCGATACACAGGCACTCACAAGAGGGCATCCTATCTCTCCAAATAGGCCATTTCATGCACCTGTGGCTGCAGCGTTGATCGTCTTGGCATGTTACCAGATCGCCTAGTACTAGAGGTAACTTAGTAAGTACTCAGGTAGGGCGTGCCAGGCCTAGCGTGGTGGTGCTGACATAAAGTGATTTTGCATGCACGTGACTAGGCGCGTCGCGATCGAGCTCGTTTATTTCGTGGCAGTGCTGATTTAACTGGTGAGCAGAGTATAAATACGGCGTGCCCGCGAGATGCGTCTCCCATTTCCCGTCCCCGATTTACGTGCATTACCTTCTTCACTACTCATTCTCAACTTTCACTCGCCTTACAATATGATTTCCGCTATCTTCGACGGTGCCGCCCATGTCACCGTCGCTGGGTGCCTCGGAGCATTCTTTTTCAAACACACTGTGGTGGATCGGACGTCCAAGGCCATCAAAGAAGCGGAGAACGTCACCGCTGGCCTGGTCATATCCGAATTCTGTATTTCTGTCGCGGTACTAGTTCTAGCTTCCAACGAGACCGCCCGGATACTCCTCAGTAAAGATGCTCAACCCCCTCTGAAGCACAATTTAGCCGAGCTCAACGTGCCTCTCATTTGCAACAAAGTGTCCGATTTCTCTACTGCAGCAGACTCAATTTCAATCGCAACCGAACCATGTAGCACTCAGCCAGACATAATAATTTCACCGAATCTAATCGCAAACGACTCTTGCAGCACTCAGCCATCTAATACGTGTTCTACTTTATGCACGCCAATACTGCCGACTTCGCCGGTTCCGAACACGAAACGCCTCTCAATGGATTCTGACACGACTCTCGTCGATCATCATGACGACTTCATGAAGGACTTCTCTGGCGTGGACCTTCAGGAAAGGAATATCCTCCAGGTATGAAGTCGCACAGTCTCCTCATTTTCATCGCTCAATGTTTGAATCTTTGTAGGACGACAGCGACTGTTCCAGTGGCGACCTATTTCAAGGCACGAAACCACTCGCGATCGATGACTGGAGTGGACCCTCTCAGCGGACGCAGCTCCCTCTAATCATCCTGGAGGGCGGACGCCTGACGACCACCGACGCTTCGCTTCTCGTGGACACTTCGACTCATACGATCGCGAGTCCCTCACTTGGCAGCATCCCAACTCAGATTGTCTCGCCTCAGCTGAAACCCCCGGATACGAAACGGCATCATAATTTCCGCCCGGGAAGACACAAGGTATGGACATGTTCGTTGCGAAGCCAAGTGCTGCACTCACCGTCGTTCGTTAGCGCGAATCTAGATCCACTCGCTTGGCCGCTGTCCGTGGCAGCATCGAACGCACTCGCTCCAAGCAACAAGAACACGCTACTGTGATCAGTGAGTGATTTCCGGTGATGTCCGCTTCGTTTGTTGATTTAAAGTAGATGACCTTGAACGACTACATGACGATCTCCTTGCCGACCAAACCGCTCTTGTCGACGGCTGGGCAGCTGCCATGGCCCAGCTCGGACTCGCCTCTATGCTGTCGCCTTCGCCACTGCTTCTGGATCAGAAGACGCCCGACCCAGGAAATTCGATCGAAATCATTCAAGACCGACACCTTCACACACAATGCTACTCCCGAGGTCCCCTACGACCAAATACCGAAGATCCGCAACGGCCTCCCTCGCTGTCCCCTACGACCTGGAGCTTCATGCCCGCGAGGTTGAAGGCCACCGCTGGCCGCGCACAAACTATGTATTCGCGCCGCCCGGTTATACCTGCAGTCTTCGACGTCGGACGTCCCCTACGACCAATCCCGACACAACCGCAACCGCAACAGCGTAACCGCCTCCTTCTTGTCTCAGAGCACTTGGAGTTGAAGGCCACCGCCCGCGGCTCGCACTTACATCTATCTCAAGTCTCTTCTCTTGTCTTCGCCATCGTGTAAATGGCCCTCGATTTGTTTCTTTGTCTTTGTATTTCTCTTACCGGTATCTACTTCGCAGATCATGGACTGCCTGTGACTTATGGACACGTCTTATTTTTATCGATATGTACTCAGCAGGCGTTGAACTGCCCATTTACTTTGTAACTTGCAGGCACGATTTGCCTTGTTTCTTTTGCAGTTTGGAATCATTTTTCCATCTACGATATATCTCTTGACGATGTTTCCATAATTTCGTATATGTATGATGACGAGTATTAGATATCTGCAGCTCGTACTTAGTTTCTGAATCTATGATGCGTTCTCTGGGATCATGAGAAGTATCACAAACAATCTTGCGAAAAAAAACATATAAATTCAATATTGCAAGGTAGAGTAGACGCGTGAACCCACTCAAGAAGAACAAGGAGGTTGGTAACTTCCTAGTTATCATGAGTGTGCATTGTCAGGATAGGCAGGCATGCAAAGCTCAGACCCACCTCGGGCGCAACGCATCGATGCAGAAGGCAGGATGATATCGTGTTTATGTACCTGTGGATGATAGTGATGAGGCGTCGGTGCTTTGCAATCCCAGTAACAGGTAGAGTAGCTGCTTTGAGAAGCGATTGCCCGCGTTTGGAGATGTCGATGGTGACCCACAGTCGTTCGTTGTTTAATGCGCGCCTGATACGTGGTACCTTTGTGAATACGACTGGTCAATGCTCATGCATCCATTGAATAAATTCTGTCATCTCTGTGGTAGGGTTCAGTGACACACAAGATGAGCACTGGATCTGCAGTAAACCATGACCGCACGCACGGCACACAACGTGGTGGAAACAAACCGCAGATAAATAATCGATGCAGGGATGATGAAATGAAGAGTGGAAGTTCTGCTCGTGGGATCAATGGGCCTGATTTGTTTGTCCTCGGAGGCGGTTCATATAGATATATCTGATCGAGTCGTGCTTTTTTTTGTTTCGAAAACTGGTCTAGTCTCCTTGAGGTTTGATACGATTGATAACTGCAATGACCGTGGTCATCGATATCTCATTGACCAGTCACGTTGGACAATGACAACAATAAGAAAGGTTAATGGGAACAGAGGCTCGTGGCATGCGCATCATACATTGCGGTCATCGATATCATAGTACGGATAAGAGCAATGCATGACTCTACGTTCCAATCATAGTAGCTTCGGATAATTGACTAGACATGATGATCCGTGGCAAATTTTTCTGAACTCCGCCAAGTTTTTAGATTAGGGAATATTGGAATCAGACACTCATCTATCCCCTCACCCTCTTCCTCTTTCTCATTCACGACTTTTAAAGATGGATGTACGTGCAGATAAATATCTGAATGCTTATTGTCGAGTCCGATCTGATTTCTTTTTTTTCTATCGCCCGTTTTAAACAGCCGAATTTTGTGCAGGGGCTGCACAATCTATTACTGCAGTCCACTTCAAACGATACCAACCAGCTTAAAGCTGTGAGATCGATCTATCAGACGCGTTATTAAATGTGTTTCCTGACTTATTGTGTGTATCAGGCAACAGCTCAGCTTAACACAGAATACTACAAAAATCCGGCATGCATATCTGCACTCGCACAAATACTCGCCAGTTCACCGGAAATCGCGGTGAGCATACATCATATCGGTGTCTTTTTAGTTATTCCTCATTGTTATTGGCTATGTGCACGTGAATATGTTAGGTTCGCCAACTGGCTGCAGTCGAGATGCGGAAGCGTGTTTCTCAAAAGAGTGGCGATCTATGGATGCAGCTCCCTCAAGATGTTCGTTCGCAGATCAAAGACCAGCTTCCCATATTGATACTTGCTGAACAAGAGTTAGTCTATTTCTTCTCTTTCAAAGTTCGCTCCTCATTTTTTTTTGATGCTGCAGCAAGCTCGTCCGACACTCTGCTGCACGTGTCATCGCTGCTGCTGCTAGCATAGAACTCGCAGCTGGAACATGGCCACAACTCCTTCCGTGGTTACACCAGTCATGTACATCAACGCAAGTCGCGCATCGTGAAGTCGCCATCTTCATTTTGTTCACTGTTCTCGAGAGCATCGTGGAAGGATTCCAGGAGCATTTGCAAAGCTTTTTCAAACTCTTTGAAGGTCTCCTCAATGATCCTGAGAGTATCGAAGTTCGTATTACGACTGTTCGGTGCGCCTGGCTCTTCGACTAATCGTAGGTGGTAAACTAATCCTACCTCAAGGGCTTTGGGCGTCATTGCCCAGTATATTGACTCTGATGATAAGGCTGACATCGTACGTGCAAATTATTTTTCTTTCTCTAATCAAATTTTCTTACTGCATGCTCCAGAAATCCTTCCAAGCACTTCTCCCTGGTATGATCCGAATTCTCGGGCAATCCATCGAATCTGGGGATGAGGCTGGTGCTCGTCAACTATTTGATGTATTCGAGACTCTTCTCATCCTTGTGCGTTTTGATTTCAGTTTTTTTTGACTTGAACTTATATGCGAGACGCCCTGCAGGAAGTACCAATTCTGGGCCCTCACATTGCGGAGCTAGCATCGTTCCTCCTTCAAGCTGGTGGAAACCGCAGTCTCGACTCTGAAATCCGTATTTTGGCCCTCAACGCCCTTAACTGGACTGTTCAATAGTAAGATCATGTTTGAGTCCATGACATGAATGAATTCATGTCGTCTTTCTAGCAAAAAATCCAGGATCCAAAGTCAGGCCCTCGCTGGAGCCATTTTGGAGGGCCTCATGCCTATTACCACCGAACCCGAACCCACAGATTCGGACGACGACGCTCCTTGCCGTGTACGTAACTTTGACTACTAGCCGAAAATGACTAGATCTGATAATCGTTATTCTAGTCTGCTCTTCGTATTATCGACGGCCTCGCCACGAACCTTCCCCCCACCCAAGTCTTCCCTGCCCTCCGAACACTTATCTCTCAGTACTTCTCTTCTCCTGATGCGAACAATCGCCGTGGTGCAATGCTTGCGCTTGGCGTCGCCGTGGAGGGCTGCAGCGAGTTCATGACACCTTTGATGAGCCACATTTGGCCTGTTATTGAGGCTGGTCTCCACGACGGTGACAAGTCGGTCAGGAAGGCGACATGTGTCGCTGTCAGCTGTTTGTGCGAGTGGCTGGAGGAAGAGTGTATTGCGAAGCATGCTGTTCTTGTTCCTGTGAGCACGGAAGTGTTGGTTGCGACTTGATACCCATGCTAAGATGTATGCACGCTTTTTAGGTGATCATGAGCTTGGTGCACGATCCTGAGACTCAGCGTGCGGCTTGCACTGCTCTTGATGCACTGCTTGAGATCTCGCAGGATGTCATTGAACAATACCTTCAGCTTATCATGGAGCAACTTGCTGGCCTGCTCGACACTGCACCTATCACTGTCAAGACTGTGGTCACTGGAGCACTCGGTAGTGCGGCACACGCATCAAAAGAGAAGTTCCTCCCTTACTTCCAGCCGACCATGAACAGATTACAGCATTTCCTTGTCCTCACTGGTGAAGGCGAGGAGACTGAGCTCCGTGGCATTGCTATGGATGCTGTTGGAACATTCGCAGAGGCTGTCGGCGTTGATGTCTTCCGTCCATACTTCGCGGATATGATGAAACAGGCATTCCAGGGCATTGAGATGGGCAGCGCACGTCTTCGGGAGTGCAGTTTCCTATTCTTTGGCGTGATGGCTAGGGTATTTGGTGAGGAATTTGCGCCGTACCTATCCAGCGTTGTACCTCCGTTGTTGCAGAGCTGCAAGCAAGCTGAACATGGCGAGGATAATGTTGCTACATGTATGCTTGTCCGTCCTTTTTGGACGAGTAGTTTTCTGATGGATTTTTCTCTAGTTTCTAACACTGACGCTGCCGTTGCATTCGCATCTGGGTCCTCTCCTACAAACGCGATCTCCATCACGGATGACATCGATGTCAATGGGAACTCCCAACTTGAGATCGAAGACGTTGACCTCGACAAGATGCTCGAAGTCAATAGCGCGATTGCAGTCGAAAAGGAAATTGCTGCAGACACGATTGGAACACTCTTCGCTGCAACACGCAACCACTTCTTCCCTTTTGTCGAGCCTTGTGCTCTCGAGCTCGTCAACTTGCTCACGCATTATTACGAGGGTATTCGCAAGTCCGCAACGGACTCTTTGTTGGAGATAGTCAGGACATTCTACGAACTGAGCGGTGCGCCAGACTGGACCCCTGGTGCGACAGTGGTGAGTTGCACTCATTATGACTGAGCATGATGCCAACGCAGCGTCCAGACTGTCCCTCTGGAACAGAGCGTGAAAGAGCTCATTGGGCACAGCTTGAAGCCCTTACTTGAGATGTATGAAACTGAGGATCACAAGTCAGTCAATTCATGTTCAGTTGTGTACTCTTATTGATCAAACTATTACAGGACCGTTGTGGCATCGTTATGTCTTGGTCTTGCCGAGACCATCAACAAGATTGGACCGGCATTTATTGAAGGCCGTGAGTCGAATCATCAGCACTTTTTTGTTGATGCTGACATTTGGTGGAGATCTCGATGTTATCTGCAGCATCGCGGTACAGGTCCTTGAGCAAAAGGCACTTTGCCAACAGGATCCTGATCAGGATGAAACCGAGGAGGCACCCGAAGATCAAGCCGAATACGATTCAGTGCTCATTTCCTCTGCAGGCGACTTGGTATCTTCGCTTGCGAATGCATTAGGCAATGACTTCGCGCAGGCATTCAATACCTTCTTCCCTCTTATCTCGAAATACTACGTCAGTTCGAGTTCTTTCTAGCGCCTGTGCAGGTACTGACTGTACTTCGTTTGTAGAAGAAGAACCGGTCGATGAGCGACCGCTCGTCTGCTATCGGTTGTCTCGCAGAGATCATTGCTGGCATGAAAGCCTCTGTCACGCCCTCGACAGAACCTCTGATGGATCTGTTCTACCGCGCGCTCAGCGACCCGGACCCGGAGGTCCAGAGCAATGCATGCTTTGCCATTGGTCTTCTCGTTGAACACTCTGAAATCGACCTTTCGCCGCAATATATGCATGTCCTCAGTGCCCTCCGCCTCCTGTTCGACGTCTCGCCCACTGACCCTTCAGCGAAAGTCAATGCAAAGGACAATGCTGCTGGTGCTGTTGCCCGTCTCATCATTCGCAACACCGCTGCCGTCCCTCTGGATCAGGTTCTTCCTGTGTTGATCGGCAGTCTCCCGCTCAAGAACGACTACCTTGAGAACCGCCCAGTCTTCCGCGCTATCTTCCATCTATTCCGCACGAACCCCCAGTCGCTCTTGCCCTTCATGGATCAACTGCTTGCTGTGTTTGCTCATGTCCTTGATCCTAGTGGACCTGAGCAAATTGGCGATGAGACAGGGGCTGAGCTGATTGCATTGATTGGTATATTGAATGCAGAAGATCCAGGGAGAATCCAAGCAGCGGGGCTCAGCGCCTTCACTGGAACATAATTCATTCATATTTCTTTTCCGTCATGCACATGTCTTCCTTTCTCCAAACCACAACTTTCAGATTCCATATATCAGTTCCCTCCGCTTTCGTTGATTTAGATTACTTACAGAGTTACTTCACATGCTATCTTCAAGATTACTCAGATCATTTGTTCACAAGGGTAATTAAATATGGATTCGACAAATGTTCACATGACCTAGTCGCGACGCGTTGTTTTTGCGTATTTGTTCGTTCCCTCTCTCAATCAATCATCTTTGGCCTTCCAACTGACCGCTTAAATAATTCGAAATCTGAGCTCGCTGGCCGACTTGTCTTCCAACGTGCGTCGTCGTCGCGCCTTACGACTCCCATCACTATGATTGTCACTCTTTTAACCCTCCTCGCTGCCGCGTTAGCGGGTCGCGCGACAGTCACTGTCGACAATCCGCTGGATGGCCAACTGCCGCTAGTTGCTCGCGTCGGCGAGAACTACACTTGGTCCTTCAGCCAGTTCACATTTTCAACCAACCTGGACCAGGCTCTTTCGTACACTACTTCAGGCCTACCGAGTTGGTGCTCGTTTGACAACGCAACTCGAACGCTCCACGGCATGCCTTCTGCTGCAGATGAGGGCACGCCGCAGATTACCGTGAACGCCTCAGACTCTGAGTCCTCGGCAACCTCATCGTTCTTTATCTGCGTCACGCCCTATCCTCCTCCAACGCTCGAAGTTCCTCTAGAAAAACAATTCTATGCAGGCAGCTCCGCGCTCTCATCGGTGTTCTTTTTATCTCCCGGATCGGCTCTTGAAACGGACGGCTCTGTACTCAGGGTCCCGTCTCAATGGTCCTTCAGCATCGGTATCCTCAGTGACACGTTCTCCGCCACAAATGATCTATACTACGCGGCCTTGCAAGCGGACGGAACACCTCTTCCTGAATGGCTTACATTCAACACAAATACTGTGACCTTCGACGGAGTAACGCCATCTGAGGCTAAACTACCCACGCCTTACACCCTATCTATAGATGTCCATGCATCTGATCAGGAAGGCTACAGCGCAGACACTGTTTCTTTCGACCTCGTCGTGGCTTCTCACGAGCTGTATGCACTATCGACTCTTCCCACTGTCAATGTTACGGCCGAATCTCCTTTCAACTTCACGATCATGGCTGCCGCCGATTTTACTGGTATGCTGGTGGATGGACAGCCTCTAGAACCTACAAACATCACCGGTTTGTCTATCGATGTGTCTGCGTATAAAAATTGGCTTCAATACGATGAGGAAAGCAGGACGCTCTTTGGGATCCCTCCCTCTGGACTTTCTGTAACGAGCGCCTCGAACAGAGGACCTATCCTGCCTGCCAGGCTCACCACTGACTTCAATCAGACCTTGGACACTACGATCTCTCTGGCAGTTGTGTCATCCTATTTCTCTGCCTCGGACCTTGGAGTCATCGATGCGGGTGCAGGGCAGCAAGTTCACTTCAATCTGGCTCAATTCTTCTCTAACAAGGCTGATACTGCCCAAAATCACAATGACGTTAACCTCAGTGTTACCTTCTTTCCTGATGCCAGCAATTATTTGAGCTTCGATCCGGTCTCTGGGGAACTGTCTGGACAGATCCCGGGCAACTCACAAGTCCCAAAGATTGTGATCACCTTCGTCGCATATTCCCGTGTCACGCACTCCACTTCTCACGCAACACTATCCGTGGTGTCTCCACAGAAGGAAAATCAGAGCCAGGGACTAGGAACGACGAACTCGGCGGGACGCCAAACAACAACACTGATCTTGTCTGTCGTTTTTGGTGTGATCGGAGGCTTGCTCAGCCTTGGCGCCGGTCTGGCCCTGTTTAGGCGTTGCGCAAGGGTTCGAGACTCGGCCTTGCTAGGTGAGGAAGGCGCATTCGCTTGGTCGGATGCGGAGAAGAGGTACTACGGGATGGCTCCCAATAGAAACAATAGTCTTCCTGAAGAAAACAAGGGTTACGGTTGGTCCAAGGAGGCAGACACCAGCGCAACCTCGGAGAAAGGCAGTCTTGAGCTCGGTCAGCGGCAGGGGAACTCGTTCCAACCCATTGAAAATCTACCGTCCAACGCATACGCAAATCTTGGACTTGGCCTCCGGCGTGTTGTTCCTCAAACGCCTTCGACTGTTCACGCCGATTGCAATGGTGTCATGAAGAAGGCCGAGTTCCTTGGGCGGATCAAGGAGACTGCAAGGAACGTGAGCGACAAATATAAGCGCAAGGTTACTCCAACAAGGCCTGTCATCGGGTACCCTACGCCATTGACGTCAAGACATGCACGTCAGGGTGTGGATGGGCTTCCTCTAGAAGGCGACTACATAGACATCAAGGCCACCCCAATTTCACAAGATGTACGCGAAAATCCCTTCAACGACCCGGAGTTGAAGGTCAAGCGAACGAGTACGATGACTAGTTTCATTAGTTCTCCGTCGAACTCTACGGATGAGAGGTCCATCCCACGAAGACGAGCCGATTTTGCTCCACCAAGGTCGCCGCGAGGCCCGCGAGAGCCATCACCCGCCGCTGTCAAGGACACTGCTAACAAAAGGTACATTCTTATTTCGTCGTATCGCTTGATATTGACTAGAAGCATCTTTCAGCATTATCAGGGAAAGTATACAGAGTACAAGCATCGTTTCCTACGAATCACGTCCTGAGACTATCCAGACTATCCACACCGCCGAAGAGAAGCCTCGTCTCAAACAGTTCACAAATTCTTCCCGAGTTCCTCCCCCGCGGTCTCCATCTAGTAATCAAGTAACACCAGATGTATCCCCAGGAACCAGAAGAATCATCAGCCAGACAGCAAAGGTCTACCAAGAAGGACGAGATGCGCACCACACGAGTATCGATGAGCTTCGCATGGGCATGCACTATGTTCGCACGCTCGGAGAAGGTTCATCGAACGTGCGCTCTGTGTCCGACAAGTCATTTTCATCGCTCGCGTCTTCTCAGCCTGGTCTAGGTCCTGTCGGTGTAGGGACGGAAAACACCGTCTCTCGATTCATCGTACGGACCGGCGAGAAGTTCAAGTTCCACATTCCCATGAGGTCCACCAATGGTACATATCGCAAGCTGGAGGCAAAACTGATGTCGGGGCAAGCACTTCCACACTTCTTGCAGTTGGAGCTCAAGGGGCACGGCGGTGACGACAAGAGAGTAGTCGAGTTTTATGGGATTCCTGCAGAGCAAGACCTTGGGGAGATACAAGTGGGAGTATTCAATGCGGAGGGTGGGGAATGTCTTGCAAAGGTGATCGTTGAGATAGTTGGAAGGAATAAGAGGTCTCCGCCATTGACAGGGTGAGCTGGCTCACATCGTGTTGTACTCGATTTGTCCACGTTTCATGGCTTTCTAACGGACCAGTGGGCTTGGTATTATTTACAGTTCTATGTAACTTAAATTTGATTTATCTTCTTTCCGCGGTGTACATGCAAACATAACGCCGTTGTCGGATATCCGCAGGAGTGCTCCTCTCATGGGAACCGTCAACCTGTCACGGACAGGGTCATGCATTGCAACGATTGCATGTCATGATCAGTGTCATTGCCATCGAATACCTGACATATCTAAAGACAGTGCATGTCTTGGCTCAACTTGATTCCAAGACATTGCGGACTAGGAACTTATCAGCCAGTGTTCGTTCCAAAGGGTAATCTTCCACGAAAGTAATGAACAGTTTGTACACGAAAAGCGGGGACATTACAAGACGGTTGACGTGCGAGACAAATGCGGATTCAGAGGAATGTACAATACACATGGTGAAAAGTGGTGAGTCGCGTCTGTCTGTACTATAATCATTTTGGTTAAAGGAAAGAACACGCGATTGAAGGTAAGAAAACTTACTTGATCTATCCGACGTGAATCTACAGCTGTTTTATGACTTCCAGATGAGGATAGCAAGCGATCCGACGTAGAAATAGATAAAGTGCTTTGTTTCTGGAAGAAATGACTCAGATTAGATTTCTTCTCAGAAAGGACAGAAGCGCAAGAAAGTTGTAGGAGATCGATGAAAGCAAACAGGTTGCATAACCATCACATCCGACGAGGGCTAACAACACAACGCATGAAAGACATACCATGAGTCACGTAGCTGCCAAAGTTCTTTCCGACAACAACGTGCCACGTGGGGCCATGTCGTCTGTCAAACTCTTTCTTGATCTGTGCAGCGATGTCCTTCTCGATGTTGTATTTCTCGAGAGCAGCAGATGCGATCTCAACGCTCTCTTGCTGCATCTCTTCAGTCATATCCACGTTCTTAATGATAGCCTTGGGCCCTCCGGCAGCATTGTGTTCTCTGGGGCTGGAGCCAGTCTCGGTAGATGTTACTGTGGTGTCTGCCATGGTTGTGAGGTAAGGAAGAGGGTAATCTGGGATGTTTTTTCAGCTTTGTATGAGTTTATATATGTCTTAGATAGGCCTGCCTTGAGTTTTGGGGCGTGTAGGCGGCAGTTGTGCGCTTGCGCGTGTGGTTGAAGGGAGATCGCGTTAGAAAGTGGTGTTGACTTTAATTTTCGTAAACGTGGCTAAAATGGGTTAACGTATCATTATCTGAACCACATGCTCCAATCGAAACGCGCCCTGCACGCTCCTTCAATATTTCAATAACAGGAATAACTAATTTCTAGCCTAGATGCCGTGAACTGGTTCAGCAGTCTGTTAGGTGACAACACTCTGAGTCCATGTTGCATTCTCGCACTCTCATTTTACCCTTGCACGATGTGTCTTGGGGGTTATTCTATTAACTTCTGGTCGATACAGGCTGTGTCCATCGCAGGGCGTGCACATGCAACAGAACCTTCGTCACAATCATCATGTGGATCCGAAGGACATCCCGTCCCTATCTCCGCAGGGCACACGCAAGTCCTCTGTGTTCTTGTCGGTTCCCAGTGCTCACTGCCCACTGCTTCGTCACGGTATTCCTCCAGAATCTCATCGACTAGTCGATTTGGAAACCTCTTCTCGCTAGATGCCGCCGGCTTCGCTGACAGTAGGTGAACAAGGTTTTGTTTTTTTCCAATCGTTTGCATGGAACTACTTTGCCTTTAAAATTTAGTTGTCTTATGCAGACAGCTTCTCGAGCGCCTAGGCGCATCCCCCTTGCCCCGCAAAGAATGGCTACTGCAATGAGGCGAAACCATCAGTTCACACGCCACGCCAACCTTTATTCTGTTGACCTGCATGCGCGCATCGCGCTTCATCGTGTCAATAAGCTGTATGTATGCCGTACTACATCCTGTATTTGATATATGATATTCAGGTCTAATCTTGTTTCACATCGAATCTGGGACACATGGAGCCTGCACGCAACACCGACCAGGACCAAGGAACCTCGGAAAGTAGTCACACGAGAGACAGTCGACGACCTTTTCTAACCTGGGAAAACTACGCTTCTCTTGATTAGAGGTGTCGAGACAGTATCTATTAATCGGAGGTCAATATCGCTAGCAACAGTCCCTGGTGAGTGCCTAAAAATTGTGAAAAGCATAAATGTTCAAATCAGATAACTTCCGGGGGGTTCAAAAATGTGGGATAAATTAATTTTGGAATGCAATGTACGTCTGCATATATATTGAAATTCGTAAGCAAGCAAGTATTCAACGCCGAACACCATGGCCAATGGCCATGCACTTCCCGCTTGCCATACTGATTCAGAGGAGGAGCACGACACCCACGGTTTAGGACCTGATATGGATTCCCTCCTTTTTGATTTGTTATCGAGCTATGCTCCATTCTATGTTAGCCTACGGGAAGCCATCCAATATCTAATATTATGCTGCGAGGTAATGAAGAACACATTTGATGTTTCGACTTAAGTTGCATATTTGACACTTCCGATCCAGTGAATACCTTCTGAACCCAGCGTGCTCGCCGTTGTTCACCTTCTCAATCCTCCGGGTGCTTAATGGCATGTCCAATCGGAAGGTTTCGCACCCACGGTGTCACAACCAAATAAAATGTTTGATATACAACTGACCTGCTTGCTAATACTAATCATCTTATGGGCAACAAGAACTGATCGTGCATTACCAATTCGCTCGGGCCGCGGCCCGTGACACTCGTGTGACGTCATGTGCACTAGTGTGCATACACCTTATCTTATGATTTTGTCGTCTGCAAGTCTCACGGCAGGAAAGTCGAATCTCTTCCTATCTTCATGGGTCAAACAACACAGACAGAACGAGAGCCCTTCTCTGATGAAAAGGCACCTTCCACTGTCCAAAACATACATTGGACAGCCAATGAAGATCCAGAGTTTGTACGGCATGCAACTCAAAACTACAAGCGTCGACGCAGTGCTTTACGGTTGAAGATCCTTCATTTTGCATGTTTTTTGGGTCTTGTACTGCTCTCACATCACTTCTGGCCATATCTTACAACCAGTGCATTCCCCTCTCACGAGAGCCAGAGGCTACTCGTTATTGATGATGATATGTGTCCACAAGTCTCTGCTATCACACCTTCGAGCCACACGACACTAATCGACACTCTCGATGAGGAGTACGGAACCAAAGAGTTCAAACTAAAGGCATACGAGTCACTGGGAGGCGCCGTAAGAATTCCGTGAGTATTTTGTCTCGGGTGTCGCTTCTCCTTCATTGAAATGGCCATAGGACTGTATGCTATGACGATCTTGGCACTCCAGAAGAGGACCCGCGGTGGGAGGTATTTGATGACTTCCATACCTACATCGAACAGCGTTTCCCAAAGGTGTAAGTGGCATATATTGGTTATGCCAAAGCATTCTTAAGAGAAAAACAAGCCACGCCACTCTGCAACGCACCAAGGTTGCGACCTATGCACTTGTCTATCATTGGCAAGGAACAGACACATCTTTAAAACCACTTCTCTTGGCCGCGCATATGGATGTGGTCCCCACACTCGCTGCGACTGAAGCTAACTGGATCAACCCCCCGTTTTCGGGCTATTATGATGGTGAGTGGATTTGGGGGAGAGGCAGCTGCGACGACAAGCCTGGAGTCATCGGCATCATGTGAGTAGTAAAGAGTAGCATAAGCGTCATCGTGATGCTGAGGGTTACGATAGGACAGCCATCGAGGCTCTCTTGGAGCAAGGGTTCAAACCTACAAGAACCGTCATCTTAGCTTTTGGCATCGACGAGGAGCGTGGCGGGCAAACTGTGAGTGCGCTTTTATTTGACTGAAAATATTCCAATATCATCATAGGGAGCTGCGGCAATTGGGAAGTATCTTGTAAATACCTATGGAGAAGATTCCATCTCAATGATTGTCGATGAAGGAGGTAAGATGGCCCTTTGATTGAGTTGCAGCCGACTTCTCAAACCCATCAAGGAGGATTCTCAGACTTGAGCGGTACCATTTTTGCAACTCCCGCAGTTGCTGAGAAAGGGTACTTGGACGTTCGCGTGGACGTTCTCACACCTGGAGGGCACTCAAGTAGACCTCCTAGACACACCGTAAGCACACCACTTACACACAGTGATATGTCTCATAGTATGCAGGGCATTGGCATCCTCGCCAGCGTTGTCACTGGGCTGGAGGCAAACCCACACGTCCCGAAGCTTGCACGCGACCGAACTTACTATCAGGGTTTGCAGTGCAGGGCAAAATACGATGATGGATTCCCCTCTGAGATGCGCGAACTCGTCATCGAATCGCAGACTAGCGATGAGAAATTACATGAGCTGGAGACAAAGCTTGACGATTTCGACCCAGCATATTCTGCTTCAGCAGGTACAACTCAAGCCATCGGTAAGTAAACAAGATCATCTCACGTTGGCAGCTTGAAGGAACAGTTGATCAGACATCATCTACGGTGGCGTTAAGATTAACGCACTCCCTGAAGCCGTTTATGCCATTACAAACCACAGAATCGCAGACCACAGGTATGCGAAGGTGTATCACTATCCGGACCAATCCGCTCACAATAAACCAGCTCTGTTTCTGAACTTCAAGACCGGTTTGCGAGCATCGTCGCACCTGTCGCGGCGAAGCACAATATGTCTCTGAATGCATTTGGGAAGGAAATCGGCCTCGAGGCATCTACTACGTGGGGTCTTGTGAAGGTTTCAGATGCATTCGGCTCTGCATTAGAACCCGCACCTGTCACTCCAACTACCGGAAGTGGGCCATATGAACTACTTTCGGGTACTATCTTGTCCACGCTGAAGACCAACCTCCGTACGGACGACTTCCCTGAGTTTTCTGTCGTATCACCTGGTCTTTCCCTAGGTAGACTAGCGCGTTAATACTTCATATCGATGACTAACATGTTTCACAGGAAACACGGGTAGGTGGCGCTGATGACGAGAACACGGAGATCATCTGAACATGCGTTTTCCAGACACAAGGCACTACTGGAGCCTTACCAGACACATTTTCCGATATGGCCACCGTGGTACCACTGATGGCTATAATGGCGCGCATACCATTAATGAAGGTAAGCGTGCTGCCGCATTACCTGCTGTTTTACTCAATAACACGGCGGTCTCGATCTTTAGCCATCAGAGCAGAAGGCTTCTTGGAACAAATTCGTTTCTTTACGAGGTTGATCCTGAATGCTGACGAAACTCACCTCCTGGATTGATCTAAGCGCGGCGATGGGAATGGAATCTAGAAATAGCCCCTATGTCGCTACTCACTTTCAGGTGACTTCGCTTGTATTTGCCGCGGTAATCGCGTGTGATCAAAGTTTTTAAACGTAGTTGTAATGATTAGGTATCTTGTAAGATAGGCAGTCTCGTGTGTATGAAACAAACGAATAAACGAATTTCTCATGGAAAACTTCCGTTGGGGAGGTTACATAAACGTCAGTGTGCCCGCACTCCTGTAGCAGATCTTACAAAAAACAACGAGAACGAGTATTGAGAACATATCGGACGACAACGCTGTTGCTGCTGCGCCGGCATATTCTGAAACCAGTTTCGAAACACTCGATAAGAAGTGAGAAGAACCATTGACACCTGAGATACTTATAATTGGTTATTACGTAACAAAGTACATACTTTTGGGGCTCAGTCAAGAAGTAAAATACTTGACAAGCCCCCATCATATCTGCCCCACTTGTCTTTCTCTTTCCTCCCATCATCATCGCCTACCTCTGGCAGCACAGTCTGCTGGCGAATTCAGTCCATCCAATAATCAATCACTGGCGGTAACGATGTCAGCTTACGATCACTCAAAAGTAGCCCACTTCATAGGTACGCGTCCTATCAATAATAAATGACGCGTTTTGGATGTTGATCTCGTTCTCAGGTGGAAATTCACTGGATAAGGCTCCCGCTGGTCGTGTCACAGACTTTGTAAAGGCTAATGGCGGTCATACAGTCATCACGAAGGTAAGCCATCTCTCGGGTTCTTTAAACTGTGTTTCATGTACTTTATCGAACCCCATTCATTGAATATGATTCTGATCAATTTTTATCTTTTAGGTACTTATTGCAAATAACGGTACGCACCAAAACAGGCCATGCTTGGAAGGCTCACTCATAATCCGCAGGCATCGCGGCGGTCAAGGAGATTCGGTCCATCCGCCAATGGAGTTACGAAACGTTCGG